CTGTGAATAAGATAGATAATAGAGAAATAGGTGGAAATATGGGTACACATATATTTATAAACATATATTGTCCTATTAAAATATTGCTTATGAATGTAAATCTTTTACTGATTATACCTCTTAGCTTATTAACTTCAATGGTTTAGGTTTTTGTTGTTGTTGTTTTCAAAGTGCTGGGGGTTAAACCCAGGATTTTGCATTTGTTAGGCAAGCACTCTACCACTGAGCTACATCCCCAGCCTCTTATAGCTTGTTGTTAAAAAGGATTCTTTTACTTCCAATGTAAAAAAAAAAAAGGAAAAAAAGAAAGAAAGAAAGAGAAAAACAAAAAATATATATAAGCAAATATTGAGGAAAACAAGTAAAGAGGGTTTTGGCTTAATCAGGGACATGGAAAGGCCCCAAAGTCCATTGGATAACTATGAAATCTACTTTACAAACAATAGGTTCTATCCAGCTTCAATACAATCCCCAACAAAATACCAATGACATTCTTCACAGAATTAGAAAACACAGTCCTAAAATGAATTTGGAAGAACAAATGACCAGAATAGCTGAAACAATTCTAAGGCTAGAACACTGCTGAAGGCATCACAATACCAGATTTTTAATTATACTACAGTTATAGTTAAAAAATTTAAAAATAAGAAATAAATAAAAATTTAAATAACATGATACTGGCATAGACACAGACACAGACCAATAAAATAAAATAAAATAGAAAACTCCGTCAAACACAGATACAACAATTTGATCCTCAAAAAAGTCATCAAAAACATACACTGCAAAAGACAGCTTTTTTTTTTTTTTTTTTACAAGTAGTGCTGGGAAAACTGGTTATCCATATGCAAAAGAATGAGACTAGGTTTTTTTTTTTTTTTTTTTTTATCTCTCTCCCTGCACAAACTTTAACTCAAAATGAATCAATGAGGTAGGAATTAGACCAGAAACTTTGTGACTCCTAGAAAAATCATAGGGTCAACACTCTCAAAATATAGGCAGAGGCAATGACTCAATAGGACTCCTAAAGCTTAAAATACTAAAAATTAATAGATGAGATGAAATCAAATTAAAAAGCTCCTGCCCAACAAAGGAAACAATTAAGACTGTGAAGAAATAACCTACAGAATGGGTGAGAATTTTTTGCTATCTACTTTTCTGACAAACAATTAATATCCAGAATGAAGAAATCAAAAACTTAATATCAAAAAAAGAAAGAACCCAGTTAACAAATGGGTAAATAAAGTAAATAGACACGTCCAAAAAGAAGAAATACAAATGGCCAACAAATATATGAAAATATGTTCAACATCTTTAGCAATCAAAGAATCAAAAATAAAAACTACACTAGGATTTTTATCTCATTTTAGTTAGTATGAGAGGAATCAAGAAGACAAGAAGTAATAAATACTGGTGAGAATGTGGTGACAAAAAATAACATTTTTATACTCTTGATGGATATTTAAATTAGTTCAACACTATTAAAATTAGTATAGAGGTTTCTCAAAAGAGTAGAAATGGAATCATCATATGTCCCAGATATAACAGAATTAAAGTATATAGAATTAAAGTCAGCATAATATAGCAGCACAGGGATACTCATTTTTGTAGCAGTACAATTAACAATAGCAAAATTATGAACGTAGTCTAGATTTCCATCAATGAATGGCTAAACAAAATGTGGTATATATACACAATGGAGTTTTACTCAGTCATAAAGAAGAATAAAATTATGTCATTTGCAGGAAATTTATGGAATTTAAAGGCATTTTGTTAAATAAATAGTTTACAAATGAGAAACTTAAATCGTGGATGGGCTGGTTCTTATGTATGGGAAATACTTTGGAACCAAGTTCAATACCCTCCACAACTTCTTTCTTTTCCACCCATCATTGAAGTCTCTTTGTTTGCCATGGAGAATTGGTAGAAATACCATTGAATACTCCCCTTGGCCACACAAGCAAGCATATCCTTCAGGTATGCTTGAGCTTCACTGGAGGCACCATCCCTCTTTTCAGATTCCAGTTCTCACAGTTGCAAAGAATAGCAGTTTCTCCCCACTCTCAAGGACTGCTTTATTCTCAGTTGGGAAGAGTCAGGTCTTCTAAAGAACAACAAATACAAAAATGGCATGTAAAACAAAATATAAACACACACAACACATTCAGCAGTGATTTGTTTTTTAACAAACATTTGAGTGAATGCATTATTGAATAGTCAGGTCAAATACACAGCATCTTAGAACTAAGCATGTAATGGAGAAAGACAGATACAAATATTTTTTTACAATAAGCATGTTTTACACAATGCTATAAGTTGATCACTAAAAAAAAAAACATAAAACAGAATACTGGGGATTGTATGTGAGTAAGGAGATGCAATCTTAAACAGTGTGGTTGAATAAACAAGGTCTTGTGTCATGTGGGAAGGGAGCAGTGTTGGTAGGGGAACAAAAGTACTGAGAACCTGTGTGAAGAGTTCATACCCACTTGAATATAATGTATGAAATATGATATGTCAAGAGCTTTGTAATGTTTTGAACAACCAATAAAAAAAAGAATACACATAAAGCTTTTGAAGGAGCATTAAGGAGGTCAATGAAACTGCAACAAGAGAGTTATCAACAGTGAGAAGATGAAGTTAAACAGCTAAAAGGGAAGCTGCCATGCATCCTGCTGAAGGACTATGATGTTAAAGATCAGAAAATAATGGTTTACAGGGAACATAATGTTTCGGTCAGTGAATTTTTACATTTTTATGCTCTCTGGAGTCCACTTAGCATGTCAAATTATAACCACAACTTTACTTAATACAGGTTTAGGAAGAGAAAAAGCTTTAATGTAATCTTGAAGATATTTTCTGTCGTTATATTGAGACTCTGCCTTCTGAGGGGAGGACATTTGAATAAGAGAGAGCAGTATCTTTTTGTCAAGTCTCCTTGTCTCCAAACAATGGATTCCTCCTTTCCCATTCCCTTTTAACATGTGGCCTCTAACCTGTGCATTTTTTTTTTTCGTAAATTGATCATTTCTTTGTCACTAAAAGTTTTAACACTGACTTATCAGCATTGCACATGGTTATACAAACAGACATTTCACTCAGCTTTTTAATTGGAATAAGAATGCTTTTGGAAACACCTAAATGAAACTAAACATAATTTAAGTGAGGAATTTTTTACCAGGATAATGAGTGCAGTTGACTGTTAAATATATCCCAGACATTGGGAGAGTAGGTTTCAATACATTTTTATTATATTGTCTCAAAGAACTCATGATATACTAATAAATAATTTTCATTTATAGATAGAAGTTTGATTGATTAGTGTGCCTGTACTAATTATTATTTTGTCACAAATATACGCTCCTGTGGAAGGAACATTCATTTGTTTTCATTCCTTTTAGGTTGACTTAGTCATATGATTTTGTTTGGTCACTGGAATGTAGGTAGGAGATTTAAAAACCATCCATGTTGCATTGGCTAAACCAAGTCACATGACTAAGCCCAACATAAATGGGATAGGAAATGCCCTTTTACTTCTTGAACAATTGTGCCAATATCCCAGATAGAGTATACTCCATTAACCTTGGCCCAGAGTGAAGACATTATGAAGTATCATCTGTAGCTTACCATAGTTATGCAGACTAGTGGAATATAAATCTGTGAGCCATAAACATGAAATTTGTGTACCTGATGGATAGCAAATGGCCTATGTGTCAGTTATTATCATATTCTTCATCTTAATAAGCTTTTCTTTATTCCCAACTAGATTTATATTCTTGGCTGCAAGAACCATGTTTCTTTAATTTGCTTATTTTGTTTTGTTTCATTTTGGGGTCCTGGTGGGGATTAAACCCTGGACCTGGAGCATTCTAGGGAAGTACTCTACCATGGAGCTACACTCCAACTCAGGTGCCATGGCTTTTGGTTAGTATCTAGTGTATTACTCAGAACACCTATGTGTACACACATCACCATAGTGTCAGGGTAGGTAATTCAAAATACTAATTTGAAGCCCAGGTCAGAAAAAAAAAAAAAACATGAGTTGAAATCTGATCTTTCCATAAAGTGATCTGAAAGCTTTATTTAAACTCTCTAAACCCTTATTTACTCACCAATAAGTTAGAGGTTAATGAGATCCGACTTCAGGATTCATGAGCTTTAAGATAATATGCCTTTAGCACAAAGCCTAGTACATCAATCAATGACAATTTTTATTAGTGGATGCTCAGTACAAATGAAAACAATGGGCAAAGGGATTATTTTTACCTTATTACAATGATTTTCCACTTTTTCTAATATTCCAAAAATGTGAAACAAAACACAATCTTGTTTTCCATTTAGGTTGCTTGTTTTGTCCTGTAGATGTTTCCTATACATTAATATTTTCTCTCTAAGAGCACATCTGGGATAACAGGGTGTGTATATGTGTGTGTGTGTGTGTGTGTGTGTGTGTGTGTGTGTGTGAGCATGCACAGAGTGTGGCACGTGTCATTAATTAATAATTATTCACAACTTGGTCTTTGAAAACCACAGGTATTCAGCCAAATCCAGGTTTTATTTAGAAATCTCAGAAAACCCACTAATAGACTTACCAAGACAAAATTTACAACACTTCAAACTCTTTCCTAATCCCTGTGGGAAAGAAATGTTTGGCTATCAAGGGCTATTTCAAAACATCATATAAATTAGTATTCACAGTGACAGTTGGATATAATTCATTAGTTCACTAATAGTATCAACAAATAACTTCTTACAGTAAAAACAAACATCCTAAAGCAGATTAAGCTTGTGTTTTATTTTTTCTCATTCATATTAAATTAGTAGTCTGAGATTTCATAAATTCAAACATGCTTAACCTTGAAAAATGTTTTCCTTTGCCATAGGATGTCAAATTGTCCCTATAGAGAAAGGGTTTGATTTGGGGGGTGATATTTACCACAGTGAACTATGGAGTTTTGCATTTAAGTGGTTTCATCTTTGTCTTGTCTGTTCTAATGTAGGCATTGATTGTGAAGTAAATATAGATGAATGCCAATCAGAGCCCTGTCTCCATGAAGGAGCTTGTATTGATGGCATCAATCATTATATCTGTGCCTGCAAGAGTGGGTTTTTTGGAATGCACTGTGAAAGAAATGCAAATGATTGCCTCTCAAATCCTTGTCTACATGGAAGGTAGCTATATTTATTTTTTTTTTCTATTATTAACTGTATGAAAGTATATTTAACCCACAATATTTAAGACTGACTGTCAAGGGAAAGTTGATAAAGATAATTTTAATTATGCTCTTTCATAAAACAAGAGCTTAGTACAGTTAAGATGACAGATGCTGCCTGTTTTAGCTAATGCAATGTACTGATACATTATCTCTGCCCTTCTTTTATTTCTGTTCATTAGCATAAAGTAATTTTCAATAAATGTGGATTAATTAGACTTTAATATGCTTAAAGGTAACTGCTCACAGTAATAGAAATAGCAGATAGGATGATGTGACATTCTATTATTTGCTCTGTGGAAAGATAATACGGCATACGTAGTGTTTAAAATGTTCCTAAGTAGACTGGTTCTTTTATCCCTATGTGCATGAAAGGTATTTCGTTACTCTATGGAACTGTGTGACAACTCACCTGTCCATAGAAAGAATATTAGCATATAAAAATCGAGAACAGGGATATTTGTAGGAAAAGTACGTGGCAAAAGAAGACTATCTCAGAGGCACCATACTGTCAGCTGCAGCATTATTTTGTTTTTCTAGTCCTGCCACTGATTTTGTACACAGAAAAGGGAGGATTAAGGTGAGTAGCTTATTGCAGTGTAGTTTGGCCATAGCTGACTTCAGATTCCTGCATAAGCCCCAGACACACTTTATATCTTTCAGAACTGTTCCTTCTTTCCATTGCCGTGGGGAAGATGGCAAAAATGAAAATTGATCAGTTCTTTCAGTTCAGTCACCTTCAAGGATAAAAAATCAGGAATAGACTCTGCTTTCTACTCCACATGGAATAGATAGAAATGCAGTGTGTTTATTTTTTTCCACTTAAACTAGAAATGAAAAAATGAAAATGGTGAAGCTTTCTCAAACTATGTTTTAATGTTTACTTATTTAAAATTTTAATTTTAATTCTGTGTTCCAGGTGCATAGATCTCCTTAATAAATATCAATGTTCGTGCGATGCTGAGTGGACTGGCACAAGATGTGAGGTCAAGATTAATGTAAGTTTATACATTTATTAAATTTAAATGATAAAAAATAAAAGTCAAACTACTAATTGAACATTTCTTCTACAATTACTGAGTATTTAACTACTCTCTCCCCCTTCCTCTATGGAATTCCTCAGTTTCCTTAAAAAAAAAAAAAAAAAACTACAAGTAATAGATTCTTTTAATGTTTTTCATCTTCACATCATATTATCATAAAATTTTGCAATCTGGAGCCCTCCTTAAACTAAATCCTGGAAGTGGCCATTATCTTCAGGATCTCTCAGATGGCTTATATTTTCCATCTGCCACCTCCTCCCTTATCTTAGGTCACAGAGCTCTCTATGGATCTAAAGATGAGGCAGGGCCAAGTTCATCCAGACACCACAAGGAGGAAATAAAACTGAGCCAAGAGGTGGGTAGCACCTGCAATAACCTCAGAATCGGTCTTCCATACTTCGGGAGTCAGGTGATATTATTGATACATAGTATTTTATGTGGAAAACCTATTTTTGTTGAGAAATCTTGGTTGCCTGAAATGATAACCATCTGATCTTGGCAGATGGCAATCTTGTGAGACTTCCTGGAATAATGGGCAGGTCTTCCAAAGCTGCCTTGTCTGACAGTGACATGGCAAAGGAAGCAAATATAGATAAACCAGAGCCTTTGGCTTTATGCTACAATGGGTATTTTATTTAAGTCATTTGTGGCTCTCCTATCATTAGTAAAACATAGCTATAATGATTCCTGCGTGAAAGGGTCATTGTGGGAAGGTGCACATTGGAGGTGGGATATACTTAGAAAATGGCCCTTTCCCAGGGAGTGAGGGGGTGATTAGAGGTATTCAGCGAGAAGTGGAACTGAATCTCTATGTACCTAGTTACCTGCTGTGTTTTCTTAATTAGACAAATTAGTTATATTCTGAAACCATATTTTAGTTATTCAGTGAGGATAATAACAGTAACTATTTTTTTTTTTTATTCTCAGGAGGATTAAATAAGATAATGCAAGCAAATTGATTAGCACATTTTTGGAGATGCATTGATTTTAAAAGGCTTAATTATCTATTGATATTTTATTACTTGGTTCTAGACAGTGAAAGATGCTCCTGATGTGGAAAAGGAAATGTAATTAATAAATTCCCCATACATCTTCTTTGCATTACTGCAAATATTGCTTTCTAAATACTCTCAAACACCATATTTCTTGGGAATATAAGTACCACATTCTTCTTTATGAATTAAAAATATCATTCAATAAATATTTTCTTTGATATATGAATGTCTACAAGAATTTGCACATAAATACACATTCAAATTTTTGAGGACAATTGTTCATATTCTTACTATGTGCATCTAGATGCTTTGTCCTTATATTTTTATTTTAATGCAAAACTATATTCATTATCTTCATTACTCAGTGACTTATTATATCTTAAGAACCATTTCATTAAAATGTACAGGGCCTTGACTCATTCTTTTCAATAGATACAGAGTATTCTAAATAAATGTTAAACAACCACATTTGTTTAATGAGAATATGAGCACGCCAGCTTCCCAAGGTCCTATTAAATGAAGTCATTTTAAAAAAAAAAGTTCTGACTAATTTGATGAAGAAAACATAGCATGTCATTATTTTAATTTACATTTTCCCAGGTAGCTACCAATATTAATCACCTTTCCATGTGATTTTGTATTTATTTGTGTTTTATCTACTTATAACTGTTGGCTGGCAGTATTTGCATTTTTGGCTTGCTGACCCTTTTCTTTTTGGTTTGTATACATTATTTTAAATTATGGATAGTGTCCACTAGGTTCTGAAAAATTACAAATATTTTCTAGAATTTAGAAATTATTGCTTTTTACAACTTGTAAATTGTGAAATGTCCATAATTGTCTTTACCTTTCTCTTTATGACTGGATTTTGCATCTCATCTTTTCATGTAGCAATATTTAAGATAGTTTCTTATATTTTCATCTACTAAATTTTAGGATTAACAATAGTTTTAGTGTCTTAGCATGTAGAAAATATATTGTTATGATTGATAAAATATACCATCTGCATTAATTATCATAGTGCAACGAAGTTTCTTAAATTTGTCATTTTTTTTTCTCAATTACATTTAATATACTCTAATTGTAATTTTGTTCATTCATTTTACAAATATTGAATACTTATGAGAAGCCAAGAAAAAATAATTATTAGACACATTTTCTGCCCCACAAGCTGCAAAGTAAACTATCATCTATCTTACATATTTCCTGACCTATTTATTTACCTATGTCATATAATCCAGATAGCCTTTGAAGGACACTTGGAGATTAGTGTCCACATCTGTCTTTCTAGGATAAAGAGACAAGAGCTGTGGAAAAACAGCATAGCTGAGGAAAAGATAGCTGAGGTCAATATGGGGAGAGTGTTATATGTAAAACTCTTTGGAAGTAAAATAAATCTTAGTTTATATTAGGGCTTGATGGAGGGAAATTTGAGCAAACTTTTTTTTTAATTCATTAAGTTGAACATTGGATGCAAAGATTAAAAATTATAATTGATGCTTGAGAATAACAAACACGTGGCTGGATACGAATGAATGCCAAGGCTAGTGAAAAATTATAATTAGTGTTTTATGTATGCACACATGAACATACACACATATGGAAAAAAAAGAGAGTGGGATTTTAGAGAGTAGATATTTTCCTTTCAATGTGGATGGGGCAGAGAAAGGGACATGTGTCCTTCTCATGAAGCATGAATACAGGACAGTGATTTTTTTAATATCCAATCATAAATATATAAAAATATACTAATTTGAAATAAAATAAACTACAACTTGAGAATAAAATAAGAAATCAAGACATTCTCAGATGAAGGAAAACAAAACTTTTCATGAGGACTCATTATTTAAAAAGAACTAAAGGAATTTCCCTAAATAAATAAGAACTGATTAGAGAATTTTGCATGTTTGTATGCGGGTATGTGTGTATTTGTGTATCTTCAAGTGTGAGCTATAATTTATGAGGGGCTTTTTATAGTTATATGTAAAAATCTATGTGTCTACCATATATATACACATAGGTATATTTTCTTATTTTTATTTCCCTCTTATATATTGGATTCTGACAGTCAAAAGATTTTATGTTTTTTAATCCAAATTTACAAAATCACAAAATTCTAAAGGTGATGTTTTCTGTGACAGTTTTAAAAGAAACTTACTCAGAAATTCTTGTATTTTCTCATTATCTTTTTATTTGATATTACGTGATTGGTTTATCGGAGTACTTTTTAGCCTAAAGTTTGAACAGGAAGCTCTCTCCCCAACTGAATGATCAGCCATTTTCTACAAATTATTATAGAGAATATCTATCTTCTTTATTGAAAACACATCTTTAAAATAAACAAGATTTCACAAATGAGAATGTTTATTACACACACACAGACTTCACACTTTCTCACTTAATTTATCACTGCAGTTTATTCTACAATAGCATGTGTAGTTCTACTTTATTTATTACTATTTCATTGTGTGGAGGTATCACATTTAATCTGTAAAAATCTCTTGAATAGTTAAGATATTTTAAGTATATTGTTCTTAAAAACTCTATTTGTATCTGAGGTGCAGAATTTTGAGCAAACCATGCTCTATATCATAGTAGGAATAGTTAATAAATTTCCTTTTGATCTCATAGCCTGTTCCTTCCTCACCACACCTGTGTTTATTAAGAATGTTTCTCTACATATGCGCTGGCAGAATGTGGATGTTAATGTTTAATATATGTATTATTTGATTACACAATTGTTGTTATGTTCTCCTAGGCTTTTGTTTACTGTGCCAGTTATTCTTCAGTCTTTTAGATAAGGGCAGATTTCTGTCACTACTCAAGCAAGAGTGAGCTCAAACTTTGTAAAACTCAGCAAAATAGGTGAGGACAAAAGAAGATGCTTTTCATTGTCCAGCCACTCTTGGCCACCAACACCAGCCCAATATCTTTTACAGTGCTATAGATTCCTTAATATCAATGCAGTCAGTGTCTTCAACCTTTTTAATTCTATGTCCATGAGTGAACCTTCCCCTCACAATGCCATTGTGTTAGAGCACAATATACCCCTGAAATTTGGATTACATACTTGACATTTTTTTTAAAGAGAGAGTGAGAGAGAAAGAATTTTAATATTTATTTTTTTTTTAGTTATCGGCGGACACAACATCTTTGTATGTGGTGCTGAGGATCGAACCCGGGCCGCACGCCTGCCAGGCAAGCGCGCTACCGCTTGAGCCACATCCCAGCCCCTTGACATTTTTTTATTAGCATTCTTCACAGAATCATAACTAGTGGTGTGATTCAGTCATATTCTAACAACCTGAGAACCAGGAAAGCAGATGGTGTCAATCAACTCCAGCCTGTAGGCCAGAGGGGAAGTGTTCAAATTGAAGCAGTGAGCAGGGGAAAAAGGAGACAACTCCTCCTTTCTATTTCTTTTGTTCTTCTCAAGCCCTGAAGAATTGGATGCGGGCTGTGCACTAGGAGGCTGCCTGTTTTATAGACTCCTCTGATTCAAATGCTAAGTTTATCCAGAATACTCTTACATGCACATTCTAAAATAGTGTTAAATCTGGACACCCCAGGCAAATAGGGTTGATATGTTAAAATAAACATCATGGATTTCTTCTGCAACACTTTTTGTTTACCTGAGAAAAGAGGACTGTATCCAAAGTGTTAGTTATTTTTTTAAAAAAAATGTATTTGAACATCTTTTTGGACTGTGTCCAAAGTGTTTCCTTTAAAAAAAAATCCTGGTGTAATTTGTGAAATTGACGTTCTAGATTCAGCTGTGATGAACTCGCCTTTCCTATTTTTGATTTGTTTGTGCATTCCAGGCTATCTCTGGGAAAATTATTCTGTTTTCTTGTATTTTAGTGACCTTCTTTCCCAGAAGTTTTACCATATACACTTTCAAAAAAAGTTAAAATTTCTTGTAAGAATCCCAACTTTGATATTTCATAATCTTATTTTATTTTTTGAAATAACAAAGTGAAGCTGCATTTTATTTTCATGAAATTACCAAAAGTCAGGTTAAATTGGAAATCAAACAACATCTACCTTTTAGCTAATTCAGTTCCATGAACTTGTACATTTTGAGAAAAAAGTGAAACTGTTAACAAAAATTACATTGGAAATAAACTTCAAGTATATTAACCTTTACTATATACATTATCACATGTACAAATTTGTAGACAAAACATTTTTTTAAAAAGGAAGATACGATTTGGCAGTGCTTAGTCCTAGGTTGGAATTCAGAATATTTAGTTGTCTATGTGTTTTTTTCTATCACTGTTTTGCTGTAAGACTCTGGCAAAGTCACTCTAATATCCTTCAGCTTCTTTTCATGCTTGTGAGTAAAATAAAACTGTTCTTGCTCCATTCTTGCTACTCAATAATAATAATCCATGTTTTGATAGCATCAGTATCACCAGGGAGTTTGTTAGGAATGGAAAAATCCAGGCCCCTGACTTACTGAGTTTTAATCTGCAATTTAACAAGCTACCCAGGGCATTCATGTGTGATTTAAGTTTAGCATACACTGAGCTACATTAGTAGTTTTGATTCCGGTGCTAGACAAAGTTCCACAAGTCTGTGAAACTTAATAGGCCTCTGCTGTGGGAAAGGTAAGGGCCTAATAGATACCATATACTGTTTCTAGGCTTCAGGTAAAACAGATCCCTGTGTCTCTCTTTAACATTTTGTCTCTCTCCAAGATCTTCTCTGAAGACAGATTTCTACTTCTTACATATACCAGGGCCAAAAAAATAAAGCCTATGAAGTAATGAGAAAAGTATTATGACAAAGATGATCTCAGATAACTTTATTCTTCTGGGAAGTGCAGAGGTCACAAGACAAACTTTAGAATTGCTTAAAACTCCATCTCTCAGAAAGACCATAGCTATGAAGTCAGTGAGATATCATCCCCTTTCATAGGCCAGCAGGCAGTTTCCTTTGACTAAGCATTCCACCATGAAGGACTGATGTCATTACTCTGGTATTCTCAAACTCCTGTACATTTCCTGGCATGACTTTTGAGCACAAGTTAATGCAGCTTAATTGTCCAGATCACCCTGGTTTGTGATGTTCCTCCCATTTTCCACCTCTTTCTCTCAAAACCCCAGGCTTTTATTTCTTTTATTTTCTGAAATTACATTAGTGAACTCCTTCTTAGGAAGCACTTTATTGTATTAAATAGAGTGTAACGAAGTAATATGAATGATGATGAACAAAAGGAAAAGCATCTTCCTTGATTTTTGAACCAGGAAAGATTAAGAACTTCAAATGACAATTTGATTTTCTCTAAAAAGAAATTTCTTTTGTATTTCCCATTAAGCTTTCTAATTAATTTAGTAAAAGATTCTTGTAAACCCTAAAGACAGAACTCTTGGCAGTCTGAAAACTACCCTTGTCTTCCCATGGGAGATATAATTCAATTACTTTATGTAATGCTTTCTAATAAATCATTCTATATATATCCAGCCACAGGACAGAGAGGGAAACAACATTGTTTCTTTGCCACTCCCTATGGAATTCTGCATTTACATTCTGTAAAAATTACTGTAGGACCTTCAGAAAGTCTGTGACGTGCCCTTGGATATCCATACATAGTTCACATTTTCAGCAAAGGTAGAACAAATATCAGAATGGCATCTATGACAATATATATTAAGTTCTATCATTCAGGTGAGTGAGAAAGATAACCATCTGGGTCCCAGGCATTATTTGAGTTTTATACTCAAGAGCACAATCCATTTCTTATTGAAAATGACACTAATTAAACTTTCAGGTAATTTTCACAAATCTTTAATTTTCCATTGGGTACATAATATGAATGTAATCTTTATTGTTGACACCTATTAAAAATCACTAAATATTTACAAACATAGGTATCAATTGATGACAGATTTAGAAAATTATAACCTTTCAAGGTAAAAAGCTAAGAAAGTATTTCATGTTTATATATACATATAATTATCCCTGAGGATGTAATAACTTAAGACCCTAGTGTACAAATGACTCAAGTTTGTGCATGTTCTTTGAGAAATTGTGTCAACAGCACATTGAGGGTTCTTTTTAAACAGTTTTATTAATGATGTCATAACTTACCATAAAATGTTTCTCAGAAATATAGATCCAAATCATTTAAGTTGACATTATATTAGAAAATGATGTCATATCATGTTTACGATGTAAGCTTTCTATAATGTTAGTACATATACAACCTAAAAAATAAAAAAGCATATAGTATGGTATGATAGAAAATAAGTATACAGAGAAATAAATTTTCTACCCAAGGCAAAGGCAAAATGACTGCAATAGGGACTAACAAGTTTGGCCCCAGAAAGGAAACGGAAGAAGTGAAGGAGGGCATGTACTGAACAGCTATCATGTGCTGGTCACAGTATCAGTTTGCTTTCTTTACATTCTTTATTTAACTCTCACAGCAACCTGTGTGAGGTTGGTAACTTTATCACCATCTAACAAATAATATACTTATAATAAATAGGATGTCATTGTTGTATAAATAAGACAACTTTAAAAATACTTTGAAACCTAAATGTAACTAAAAAAAACTATTACCCAGATATCTCTTTTTATCACAGAATTTCTATGCTTCTAAGATTATAGGTATTAGAAATACTTGACATAAGTTTGGATTAATGTGTGGGAAAACGAAAGATTACAACTGGGGCTGGGGACATGGCTCAATTGGTAGAGTGCTTGCCGCACGTGTACAAGGCCCTGGGTTCAATCCCCAGGACCACACACACACAAAAAAAAAATATAATTACTATTATAAATGTTTTAGATTTATTAGAGGGACATAAGACAATTGTGAGATATCTGATTTAATGACGTAATCAAACCTACATAATTCCTTTGAGAGTTAATGGATATCCTATTAAATCATGTCCCTGGAGAGTAGAGTTAAATTGGGGCTGATTGTGGCAAACTGGGACATACCATGAATACTAAGGGCAGTGATCCCTGGTTATATTATCTATAGAGGAAATTTTCTGTATCATTTTCATTAGGAGGAGGAAGAGTTGTCTAGTAGGGTACATATTTTAATAAGGCCAGATAGTTTCTTTTTTTGAAAAGTCAACAATGGAACATTTGACAGAAAATTTCTGGTAATCAAAAGTAAAAATCCTTTATCACTATAAACATATTTTGTTTCTTGGAAGAAAGAAATATCATAAAAGCTTGCAGATTGGTTCCTTAAAATAGTTTTAAATAAGCATAATTTTAATAAAGCAGTCTTACCATTAATAATCACATTTTATTCTCTGTTTCCTAATGTAGGACTGCACATCAATTCCTTGTATGAATGGGGGCTTCTGTCAGAAGTTGGTTCATGGATTTACTTGCATTTGTCCACACGGATACACTGGTACACACTGTGAAAAAATCATCCATAGTTGTCCTGAGCCTGATCTAAATTTGGTCCTCTGTCTGAATGGAGGAATTTGTGTTGATGAACCTGGACCCACTTTTAAATGCAGGTCAGCTTTTATAATTTTCAGAATTAACTAAGTATGTATATGTTTAAGAGTGTACTTTGAAACATGGATATTAAGTTTACATTAAGTTTTCATCTTAAATATATATAATCACAAGTTTGAAAATCAATGTTTACCATAAGGCATTAATATATTTTCCAAATTCTATTTATTCATATCAATGCCAGATTTCTTATTTCCCTGTTGAATCACATTTTAATAATACATGTTTCATATCTCTTCTCTTTCCTGGAAATGGGTTATTAATTTATAAATGTTTGACATTTATACCATAATGTTTAGCCAGAGATTTCTTTCTGTTACTAAAATACCTATTTTCTAAGACTAGAAGGAGATAACTAAAATTTTTGAGTTATAAAGGCAAATTCATGTATCACTGCATTTTATTTATTTATGTATTTATTTAGTTGTAATTGGACACAATATTTTATTTTTATGTGGTGCTGAGGATCGAACCCAGGGCCTCGACATGCTACGCAAGCACTCTACCGCTGAACAACCATCTCAGCCCCTATCACTGCATTTTTGAATGAATTATTATTTAAGAAATAGTTCTTAACTTCTTTGGAGATGAATTTTAGTTTTCTTAGCTTTATGATCATATAATGTATGTAATTGGTGTTTTAAGAATTTAGCTATCTGTTCAATTATAATAAGTGAATTGAACCCAAGTATTAGGAAAAAAATACATTTTTTCCTCTATTTTTTCTACTTCAATCTAATGTGTGATAGGCTGATATTAAGTTAAAATCTGTGAACAGCTGTGTTTCCATCACAGTATCTTAAATTGTTGACAGTTTTACCATGTATAATTTAGTAGTAATAGTTTACTAGTAAAGCATATCTGTTATTTTTATATTGCATCAGTTATTTATCCTTTAGAAAATGTATTCTGTCTTATATTAAATAGTGCCACTACCATATTTTCTTTGTTCAATTCTAGAGCATATTTTGCCCATTTATTTATTTTTAATCCCTGCTATAGCTTTTTTTTTAATCTCTCATAAAGCACATAGGTAAAAAATTTTGCATAAACTCAAGAATACTAACATTTCATATAGCATATGCAAAACATGTTTATCCTAAAAAAATTATTATTAAATATGTATTGCCTAACATGCCATCTTCATTCGGTATACATTCACACATACGTACACACACACGTGGGTACACACTTATGTGTATGTGTATATGTATGTGTGTGTGATATTTATAATCCTACTGTCTCTCATGTATCTTGTTGTTTTTAACATATATGTTTGTTTATTGTACTTTGGTAGTTTGATAAAAAGTAGAATACATTTTTAGTACAAATGGAAATTGTATGAAATATATTTATAAAAATGACAACTGCAAGGGTCCTCAGGATTATAACCTAGAAAGTGTCTGGATTAAGCAAATAAAAGCAAAACAAATATTCATCCCAATGAATGCAATGTTATAAATCAGGTTTCATCCATGGAAATCTAATTTGTTCAAATAAAAATAAGCTCCTAGATTTTTATAAATATTCCTTTTAGGGAAAATATTATCTATGGATTAGCTAGGCTGACCTTTCTTGAAGCATAAATCCAGTGGAATTCAGATTGCTTCTCTTCCTGGCACATCTCCCAGGGACAAGCATAGACATTCATTACACTACAAGGTTATTCAAATTGCATTTAAATTAGAGTCATCTGTCTCCAAAAATTTCACTGTTGATTCAATGTGTCTGAAGGCCCCTGAAAGACTGTGAATGGCACTGCCCGGGAGGTGCAGTTTCTACAGGGACTTTCATACTTCACTGTGCAGAGTCATCAGGGTGCAAAGCAAACACCGTCCTTACTTTATTCCAGAAAAAGCTCAGACGTTCTGGGAAGGAACATTTTACAAGTTAAATCACTAAATGTTTAGATGTGTTAAAGGTTATTCAGCTATGTTTATTTAAAGTCATAATAAGATAATCAGTTTTCCTTTACTTAAAAAATGAAAATGCACTTTGCATTTGGAGTGCTATTTTGCATTCTACAAATGGAATCAAAAAGAAAGATCTCATTCTTAAAAATCTGGGAAAACATTTTGTTACTATCTTTTCATCCTAATTTTGCTTCAAAATTTGTACAGATCATAATTATATGTGATATTCCTATTTTTAGACTTGCTAAGGTTTGTTTACCTTCTACTGGAAAAATAATTATCCAAACAAATAGTTATTTTGATGCAAACTATTATATTAAAATATTTAAGCCCTCAATGATATGCATAATACTCTATAGGACTGGTTTCTTACCAACGATTTTAGGAGGACCAGTTTTCTTCCAGCATAAATCTTATGATGAATCACATTTAAAAAGAAAAAAGATTGGGATACACTATCCCCTAAAATTCCCTAGCAAATTGGAAATTGCCAATCTAAAGTATTTCTGTGTTGCTGGCTTTGAGTATTCATTACAATGTGGTGAAGTGCACATTTCTTAGATCTTTGAAGTTTATACAGTAGCTGTGTATATTTTGTTTTAATCTCCATTGTTGCAGAAAATAAAGCAGGGTCTATTTTTATAAATGTTGTATATTTTTAATTCATTTGATTGACTTTTTTCATGGAAGCTGACATGACTTTTATTTCTTTAATAAAAAAATATAGGAAATATTCATCCCAATGATTGCCAAATAGAGAACTTAAAATTTATATCCCTTCAGTTGTTTCATCTTTGAAATTTAAAGTGTTTAATCAAAATATATGAAAATTATATATTTATTTTATTTATTTCTTTAAGTCTGGAAAGTTTTGAAAACCATTCTTTTACTTTGTTATTTTAAAATTGATTCATTCATTCTACATTCTACTCTGGGGACAACCATTGCTTCCATCTTATGTATCACATACTTAAACTTCATGCAGTTCACTTTCGTTCTATATTTATGACATTTTTCATTCCTTCTAAATTCTTAATTTCTCAAACTTTTATTCAATACCCTGAACTTCCTATCCTAAAGAATAGTTATCCTTTTACTTTTCAATCTTTATAAGCTTTTAAATAAGGTCGTTTTAGAGTAACAACTTAACAAGACATATTCTTATCTTCTGTTTACAAAGTAGTTTTTTTTTTTTAAGAGTTCAGTTTGTTTTTAAAAGTTCTTGTCAGTGGGTTTATCTTTTTTTGTTATAGAATTGTGTAAGTTGACACTGAGTCTCAGTTACTACCATTTTTTATGCCTGCCTTATTAATCTTCTTTGCTGTTACCCTGATCTCATAAAACCTCTCTTGTGCTCTGACTCCATTGGTTAGACTCTTCATTGAGTTATCTCTGTGTGTACAAGACACTTTTAAATAATAAGCCTGACCTATTAAGTGATGGGTCAGATGCATGCATCAGTGCAGAGGCACATCTGTGAAAGCCTATTTTCACTCCATGGATTTTGGCTACTGAAATCTAGGTTGAAATTGCTAAGCAGTACGGTCCACTGGAACATCTTCCTTCTACAATGAAAATTGACCTTCTAGGTTACAGGCACATTAGAGTCATAGTTTGATAATTTATAGTTTTCTCATTAAAATATTTTATTATCTTTCTTTGATTATTGTGTGACTGTAACAGTGGTACATAATGAGAATATGTTCAGTTTTCTTTCTTTCTTTTTTTTAAATCTTTCTGAAGCAGTAGTTAAATTCTGAAAAATATGGTAGTTTCTATAAGTGAAAAGGAAAGGAAGGGAAAGGAATTAGCTGGCTAAGCCTGAATATATGGAATGTAATATTGATGACTGTAAAATGAATGAACCACTAACATATAGTTAGTTTCCTATTAGAGTAGAAAATGTAAATACTGAAATAAAAACATTAACTGTTTCCAGCAAAGCAAGTTACAATTACCTTTAAATGAAAAACAGTTACTAAAATGTTAGATATACATTACCACATAACTTTCAAATAAGTTTACAACTGTACTTCAGATGATTTCTGGAGAAATTAAAAGGCGTTTTAAAACTGACTTAATTTTAGTAATGCTTTAGGCAAACTCATGTGGTTTAATGGTCTAGTGAAGAAATATCAATTTAACAATATGCATGTTTAAAATATAAAAAATAAACTTGATTGATGATGGGAGATTTTTGAAGTCTTTACCATTCATAGATTTTATTTGTTTAAAATACTTGAAGGGCTGAGGGGTATAGATCCATAGTAAAGCATTTGCCTAGCATGTAGGAAGTCATGGGTTCCACCACAGTGTCTTTAAAAACTTACAGATTTTATAAATAATGAAAAGGAGGGAGCTTAGATTTCTGAACACAAAGTAATGATGAGAAGATGAAAATGTTAATTACCCAATTTGATTAGTAAATGCAGTGTGGTCTGAAATATGTAACAAAATTTATATTTGTTCATAAAATTTTTAGAAAATTAAAAACATAATATTTGATCATTTCATCCCTATTTGTAACCCAAATGTATGTTTCTTGTTGATTTACTGACTTTTATAGCTGAATGAAATAGAGATTACCCCTAGCAACCTAGATATTGCATAGATGAGAAACCAAACACCTAAGAAGGTTGTACTCTGTCAAACACCTAAACAGAAGCCAGAGTCACTGGGAGAGTTAGTATTCGAATTCAGTGCCTTGCTTATTTATTTCCCTTATAGTACTTTTGATTTAAAATAAAAAGAAATATATGCATTGTAAGAGAAGCACAAACAGACATCAGGACTATTCTCTTCTAGATGCTGTTAAACATCTATTCTTGTACTTTATATCCCAGTGCAAAGTTTAAAGACATTAATGACTTTGTTCAGTTTAATAATAGCTGCTTTCAGAAGTCCATAAGTATTATTAACCATGTGTAACAATTTAATAGCATTTTAATGCATGCAAGTTTTATTAAACCATAAAAACTATGTTGAAATTACACTAAAATCCAAATTAGACTCACTTAGCAGAGGACTATAGAAATAAGTAAAAATATTATACTCTTTTCTGTTGCACTATGTAGATTATAAGTATA